CACATTCAGAGGATGGCTTTCCCTGCCAGCACATCCACAGGACAGTTTCATCTCATGGCCGCCTCCCCATTCAAGCGCGGAGCAGAAACGTGGCACTGCTCACAGCTCCCCCAGAGGCTGCTCGCTCGGTGGCTTCTGACGTGTGAACCCGCGGTCGAGTCCATGCGAGAAGTGTGACTGGAAGAGTGGTGAGAGGTGGGAGGAGGAAGGCTGCAGCTAGGCTGAGGCTGCAAAGGAATGGAGGAGGAAGGCTGCAGTTCAGGCTGAGGCTGGAAAGGAATGCAGGGCACGAATAGCTGGGATGGTGTGAGGGGTGACATATGTGAGCAGTGCTGCAGAGATATTCCTGCTCGGCATGTGCCTGACTCCAGCACTATCAGTTTTTGCTCTTTAGAGTCTAAATATATAATCCATTGTGCTCTGGCATCTGGGTGATAAATAGTGATAAATAATGTAGTGGTTGGGGAAGGAGGGAGAAAACTGCTCTGGGGTGGAGCTGACCCCTGGGATGTCTGGGGCAGCCGCAGGGTAATAAGAGTGAGGAGGGACCAGCTCTCAGGACAGAGGGAGCTTGTTCTCCATCAGCCATTGCAGCTGAGGCTGAATGGGCGGGTCTTGGGGTTGGTTTCCTCTGTCCCCACTGAAAGTGGAATAGTTGACTTTTGCTGAGCAGTTGGTCACCTCGACCCAGCAAATATATCACCCTGTCCCTTCACCCACAGGCAGGGCTCTGTGTCCCTGAGCAGGCAGCATGTAGCACTGTAAATTGGCTCTGCCTGAAGTTCTCTCTAGGAATTGGATGCAGTCCAGGCTGCTGGCGACAGTATGAATGGATGCTAGTGCAGCCAGGGCAGGGTGCATGTGTGTGCACTTGGAAGTGAGAAGACGACAACTGGCCTGCCTTGGAAAGGGCTGGTGTGGGCACCAGAGAGGGTGGGTCCCAAGGGGACTGCCTGTATTTCACATTCATCTGGGCTGCAGGGGCTTTGGGCAGAGGCTGGCACAGAACATGTTGAAGAAGCATTAAGCTATCAGGGTTTTCATCCATCATCACTGCTCCTTTCCTGCTTTTCCTGCTTCTCCATCTGTGCAAGAAGAATTAACACACATCCTGGGGAGTGGATTAGACTGCTCAAACCATGACCTCCTCATCTGTGCCTTCTGGGGATGGGTAGCCTTTGTGCAGTCCCTTTGCTGGCTCTCCAGTTTTGTCAGGGGTTGTGAGTGCCAGCTGCCAGCAAAGGCGGGGTGATGTGCTGCCTTTCACCCCGTGGGACAGCCCTTGCTGAGCGTGTGTGACACCGGTGCAACCAGTGGGGCTGGCAGGGTGGAGCAGACCTGCTCCCCAGCTCCAGGCTTCCACACTGTTCATTTGCCTTTGCTGGTGCCTTGTGAGTGTTGGCAAGCCTCGTGTCTTGTTTTTGGGGACAGTTGGGGCAGCTGTTGGCACACCAGGGAGCACAGCCAGGAGCCCAGAGTGCCTGTTTCTCCAAGCCCCAGCGTGCTGTGACCTGATGGCACTCTGGGGCAGTGGGTCACAGCTCCGTGTCTCACCTTTGCATCCTCTTTGATTCCCCATGAGTTGGGGACTGGCTTGGGGACCTTTTAGAGCTGTTGATAGGATTCCACCTCCAAGTAGTGTTAGACACTTATAATCTACTTACTTTTAATACATCATTTCTCTTGGTTTCACATTTTTTACTTTGTTATTTTTCTTTTTTTGTTCGACTTTCCCCCTACCCCCATAATTTATTCACTATTTAGTTACCTCATGTTTTAAGCATAATATGTGTCAAGCTACCTTAAATATAAGTTGGAAAGGGGAACATGGTATCACAATCTAGTTGTAATATAACTTTGTATTAAGTAAGAGTGCTTAAAATGTTGTCATTGGATAGAAAAGGAAATGAGCTTGTTAAAGCCTATTTTGGTATTTGATTTATCGAAGATGGTAGTAATTGAATCTTCTGAATTTGCAAGTTGTTTTGATTGCAGATTCTTTGTGGAAAAAGTATTTAGGGGTCCAGTGATATTTAAAATTAAAAAAATACTTTCTCCGAAGAAAACTGATTTTGTTTTTTTACTCCTGCGATAAAAATAAATTTAGTGCTTCTTTCACTGTGAAGGCTGATAATGTAGCTGTTTGTGTAATGCAGGGACATGAAATTATGGCAGAACTATAAAGCTTGAAGTGATGTTGAAATATTATGTATGTAATTAAAAAGCAACAGTATCATTTAGTAGGCAGCATGTTTAATGTATTTCACTTTCATCTATTAGAAATCTCTGGCATAGTTTATGATTCTTTCAGATCATTATAAAAAGGCTTAAATTATGTATTTCTTTAGAAATAAGCAAACTGGTGGGAATATGTCTGCTGGAAATACAGTACAGCAGGAACAGTCTGGGAGGTTGCTGGAGTGTGTGGAAGAACTTCCTGATACAGAGGGTGAGGGAGCCAGCTGGGGAAGGCACGCACTGGACTTGTTGTTTGTGAACAGAGAAGAACTGGGGGTGATGTGGTGGCTGGAGACCGCCTTGTGCAACCAACCACAACATGGTAAGAGTTTTTAATTCTCAGAGAAGTGAGGAGGAGGATCAGCAGAACTGCCATCCTGAACTTGCAGAGGGCAGACTTTGGCCTGATTAGGAACTTGGTTGACAGACTCCCTTGAGAGGCAGTCCTGAAGGGTGAAGGAGCCCAAGAAGGCTCATATTCTTCAGGAAGGAAATCTAAAAGATGCAGGAGCAGGCTGTCCCTATGTGCTTGAAAGACAAGCCAGTGGGGAAGAAGAATAGCTTGGCTGAGCAGGGAACTTTGGCTCAAACTCAGAAAAAATTAAAATATTTTACCTTTGGAAGAAGGGGGAGGCAACTCAGGAGTGCTACAAGGATGTTGTGAGGTTTTGCAGGAAGAGCTAGAAGGGCCAAAGCCCAAGTGGAACTTGTCTGGCTACTCCTGTTAAAGACAATTAAAATGTTTTTACAAATAATGTCAGCAACAAAAGGAGGGCTAAGGAGAATGTCAACCTTTATTGGTTGTGGGGGAAACAGTGACAAAAGGTGAGGAAAAGGCTGGGGTACTTATGTGTTCTTTGCCTCGGTCTTTAATAACAAGATCAGCTGTTCTCAGGGTGCCCAGCCCTCTGAGCTGGGAGACAAGGACAGGGAGCAGAATGAAGCCTATGTAACCCAGGAGGAAATGGTCAGCAATGTGCTTAAACACACAAAAGTCTATGGGGTCAGATGGGATCCACCCAAAGATACTGAGGGAGCTGGTGAAAGTGCTTACTGAGTCACTCTGTCATTTACCAGCAGTCCTGGTCAACCAGGGAGGTCCCAGGTGACTGGAAATTGGCAAATGTGATTCCATCTACAAGGGAATTACAGGCCTGTCAGCCTGACCTCAGTGCCAGGGAAGGTCATGGGGCAGATTATCTTGAGTGCCATCATGGGGCATGTACAGAACAGCCAGGCAATCAGACCCAGCTGACATGGGTTTTGGAAAGGCAGGTCCTGCTTGACCAGCCTGATCTCCTGTGAGAGTGTGGCAGAGTTAGTGAATGAAGGAGAGGCTGTTGTTGTTATTTACCTGGGCTTTAGTAAAGCCTTTGGCACTGTTTCCCACAGCATTCTCTTGGAGAAACTGGCTGCTCCTGGCTTGGACAAGTTTGCTGTTCGCTGTGTAGAAAACAGGCTGGTTGGGCTCAGGAGGTTGTCAGGAATGGAGCTGCATCCATTGGCTGCTCACAGTGGTGTTCCCCAGGGCTCAGTACTGGGGCAGTCCTGTTTAATATCTTTATCAATGATCTGGTCATGAGGATTGAGGGCACACTCAGTTCACAGATTACTAAGTTGGGTGGGAGTGTTGATGTGCTGGAGGGGAGGATGGCTCTGCAGTGAGATCTGGCCAGTCTGGATTGGCAGGCCAAGGCCAGTTATATGAGGTTTGACAAAGCCAAGTGCTTGATCCTGCAGCTGGGTCACAACCCCTCACAGCTCTGCAGGGTGGGGGAAGGCAGCCTGGAAAGCTGCCTTTCCTGGTGGGAAAGCACCTGGGGGTGCTGGTTGCCAGTGACTGAACATGAGGCAGCATGTGCTCAGGTGGTCAAGAAAGTCAATGGCATTGTGGCTTGTGTCAGCAGTATGTGGGCAGCAGGACCAGGGCAGTGACTGTCCCCTGTACTTGGGACTGGTGAGGTCACACCTTGAATCCTGTGCTCAGTTTTGGGCCCCTCCCTACAAGACAGACATTGAGGTGCTGGAGCATGTCCAGAAAAGGGTCTATTCCAGAACTGGGGAAGGGTCTGGAGCAGAAGTCCTGTGAGGAACAGCTGAGGGAGCTGGTGGTATTTAGTCAGGAGAAAAGGAAGCTCAGGGTGGACCTTATCACTCTCTACAGTTCCCTGAAAGGAGGAGTATCCAGGTGGGAATTGGTCTCTTCTTACAAATAGGAAGTACCAGGACAAATGGAAATTGCCTCAAATTGTGCCAGGGGAGGTTTAGATTGGACATTAGGAACATTTCTTCACCAAAAAGGTCAAGCACTGAAACAGGCTACCCAGGGGAATGGTAGAGTCATCATCCCGAAGGTATTTAAAAGTTGTGTAAATGTGGCACTTGGGGACATGGTTTGGTGGTGGCCTTGGCAGTGCTTGGGTAATGGTTGGACTTGATGATCTTAAAGGTCTTTTCCAGCCTAAACAGTTCTATGATTCTATGATATGCACCTGAATTTTACTGATCAAAATGTGATCTGAGGTATGAAACAGCTGTATGCACATAGAAAGGCTATTCTGTCTTTGGCCCCTCTTCAGGCTGGCAGTCATGGCTGTGGGCATAGGAGCCTGCAGCCTAGCAGCAGGAGAGAGCTGCCAGTCCTCTCCTGCTCCATCCCCAAGCCTGGGCTGCCTGGTGTTGTATGCAAATACCCATCTGTGAGTCTCCTTTTCCTCTGAAGTCCTGAATCCAGCTCTGACTGCCTTCTCTCCCCTCTGCAGGGTGGTGAAAGAAGAGATCTCGGATGACAATGCCAAGCTTCCCTGCTTCAACGGCCGGGTGGTGTCGTGGGTAAGCAAGCCCCTTGCTTCGGTGTCTCTCAGCCTGTTTGTGCCCTCTCTGAAAAACAACGTTTGGATGTGCAGTGCCCAGTGAGGCACAGGGGCTGCTCAGTACTGTTGGTGTGCTGGCTGCTCACAAAGCCAATGAGCTGGATCCCCACACTGCAGTCCCTCAGCTGGAGAGGGGGCTCTGTGATGCTGGGCACATCTCCCCTGTGCCAGGGAAGATGTGGGATACTTCTTTGAAGAGCTCATGGTGACTGATGCCTAGCAGAGATCATGGCCGTGGCCTTCCACAGCATAACCCCTCTGCCCCTATGGCAGGGTCAGCTTCCCAAGGAAAGTCCCTCTCCAATGACTGGTGCAAAGGGCTTAAGTGACTTTAGTGCTGGTGAAGCGGACTGGATTTAACTGCCCTGAAGACTAAAGGTACTGCCTGGGCAGCTGCAGGATGAGCTTTTCCCTCAGTACCATGCCATGCACACGCTCTGCTCCCTGCTTGCATGCTTGCCTCTGTCCCCACGGGGACTCTCTGTTAGTGGGGGGAGAGTCTCCACAGCACATCATGCATATTTCCCTCTGCTGAGCTGCAGTTTGTGCTGATGAGGGTGTGTGGATCTACACCAAGACTCAAGTGCCTTTTTCCAGAGGCCTCTGAACAGTAAAAATCTTTAGCAAATCAAGCTCAGTCACACCTAATTCTGCTTCTATCCCTGCACCAAACAGTGACGGGGCAGGCAGGTACCCCCCTGCTGACCCAGCTGCTGCTGGAATTCCAGCCAGGGGAGCAGGGTGCAGGCTGGAGCAGGAGGAAAGGCTGTGCTGGGCTCTTGCACAAAGAGCCAGGGCCTGGTGCCTGCCGTCCTCCCTCTAGCGGTTATCCAGGCCCTTCGGAAAACTGCAGTGTCCAGCTCTTGGCCACCACACCTTCCTCTGCATCCGTCCCACTGCTGCTGCATCTGCCCCAAGATGTCCCACCACCCCACCCCTTCCAGCTGCTTTTTGCTTTCACCTGCCCTATGGGGAGTCCCATAGTCTCTAAATCTATTCCAGTGCTCCTTTTTTATCTAGTGTGCTTTTTCTGGTGATCCATGTGTCCATGTAGCTGCTGGCTTTCCTTGCAGGAGCTCTTTGGTTGTTCAGTGTGTGAGTGGCACAGATCTGGTGTGGGTCTATCTGGTGTGACCACCATGCTGCTGCTCTGCTGGGCTGGATCCTTACAGGGAACTTGTGCCCCAAGTGAGCATCACTCCCAGCTCTTGTGCCTGAAGGATGATGGCAGTCCCAGAGGCCTTTGTGCACTGATGATGCCTTTTTCTACCTCTGCTGAGACTCTCCTAGTCCATGGGTGGTTTGGGGGCTGAGAGGGGAGCACTTGCTTTGCTGCTTCCAACAGACAGGCTGGGATGATGCTATTTTAGGAACTCAGTACTAATTTTAGCAACAGGGAAAGACAGGGGCTTGAATCCAAGTGAGTATTTCCTGACAGTGTAAGAGGCAGGAAAAGTGCAGGATCGTTATCAAAACCTTCCTGGGAGGAAATCCCAGCCTTGGGAGTATTAGAGGAAGATAGCATCAATCCTGCCTGCTTGGGAACACCCTCTCAACTCTCCTCACTGCTGTTTGACAGCTGCCTGTGGCTAGTTCCCTCTGTCCAGTTCTATTTGCTTTATGTTGTCTTGAGATTTTCAAGCAGAAAGTATTATAAGACCTTTCCCTAGGCAATGCTGGCCACTTTCAGCATCTTTTCTACCCTCTGCTCCCGGGCAGTGGCTACCAGAATAGGGATGTATCCTGGGAAGACAGGTCACCAGGAAGGTGCCAGGAGCAGAGCCAGGCATGTGCCTAGGGCTTGCTGGAGGGAGAGAAGCTGACCTGAGTGTGAGATGAGCTGGGTAGACAGTGGTGAGAGCAGGAGCCATTGGGCTTGTCCTGGGGCTTGTGGGACAGGCTCTGCAGCTTTTGACACCTGAGGCTGCTCTCTGCCCTGTCTGCTGCCTTGACTCTGGCTTTTTCAAGGCTGCCCTGTCTTCCTTGCCTCAGCTACATCCCTCTCTTTGTCTCCAATATCTCTGGCAGTAGACCTCTCATCTGCTATACTAATGATGATCTGTGGGGTCCATACCCCCCTTTTGAGGGTTTCCCCAGTTCCTGAAGGTGGGCAGGGCACAGCTCTTTGATCAGTGATGCTGGGAAGCACTCAAGACCTGTATAAATGGGCTGTGCTTCTATTGTCTGAGTTGGCCTCTGCTCTTGGCTCCACACAGATGTGGTTCCCTCACCAACAAGCAGTAGTACTGCTTCTGAATTTACACTGGGTACTATGGTTTGGACAGCAGCTATCAGCTTTTTTCCAGCCTATGTTTCATGTTTTGTCTGTCCTGAGCAGTAGTGGGTATCCCTCACCTCTGATAGATCCTTTCTGGGCCCTGTCACCTCTGCTCTGGAGGTCCTGAATGCTTCTGTCAAGGAAGAGGCTTTTTGTTGCTTTCTTGCTTGACCCTATTGGGATTAGCCCAGTTTATTACAGCTCAAAAGTACAGGAGAGTGCAAATCTGGACAGGGAGCAATACTGGGGAGCAGCTCATTTGGGCTATTCTTTGTTTTATTCCACTGGTGAGCCCATGGCCCCTGGGAGAGTCTCCAGCTCATTCCCTGAGCCCTGAAGTTGATGGTTTATTACAGAGCCAGAATGGTGGTGTGTTGGTGTGCCTAGGCTGCCCCACAGCATGGCTGGCATAGAGAGGCTCTAGGGTTTAACCCTGTCTTGAATTTCTGCACTGGGGAATCCATTGAGCATCCCAGAGATTGGCTGAAGCTTGTGCTCAAGCCAATAAGCTGAGCACAGCCTGAAAGGTTGTGAAGTACATATGGAAGCCAGAAAAAGAGCCTGTTTCAAAAGTTTATTTCAAAGCCAGCCTTGGCCCTGAGATCTGTTACCTCCAGCTTCTGAGGGCTGTGAAGGTGAAAGTCCTGCTGGGTCCCACAGCTTGAAGGCAGAAGTGTAGAGACTGCTAGAGCTGAGGAAGGGAATGACTGTAACTGCCTTTCCCAGTGTGAGAACTGGAGGAATCCAGTCCCTGCTGCAAGATGTGTGCTAAGGATTACCTGAGTGTGTGGTATGGGTGTGCAGGTGATGTCAGAGTGTCCAAGCACAGCTGTCACCCACCTGGGCTTCACTGCTGGGTCAGGAATTCCTGGCAAATAGCCAGTGTGTGGGAAGGTTTTGGAGGGAAAATGCTGCTACATGCTTGGTCTGTTCCATACCTGCTTCTGGGCATCTGCTGTTGTCAACTGCCAGAAATGAGATCCTGGGCCAGGCAGGCTTTTGGCCAGCTCCTTTGGCCACTCTTATAAATGTTTTCTCAGTTTCCTTTCCTGTCTCTCATCCCTCCAGCTGGTGTCTGCAGAGGGTTCCCATTCAGATGCTGGCTCAGTCTGTGCTGATAACCAGACAGAGCTGCCACCCTCCATGGAGCGCACAGGAGGAATTGGAGACTCCAGACCCCCCTCTTTCCAGTAAGTTACATGGACATCTGCTCTGGTTTCCAAGGGCCACAGGGTGCATTTGCTGTAATCCAGACCAGTATCCCAGACCAGGCTGGGACACTCTTAACCCAAATTGTCAGGGATGACAGCCAGCAAGAGGGGAGGAGAGTGGGGATGGGAGCCAATTTGAAGTGGAGCTGCTTTATTGAACAAACAAGGGCATGCTGAAAATAATGCAGGGAAAGAGCCAGCACAGCATCCCCAGGCCTTTGCCCTGCACTTGTAGATGTGCTGTGGTTGTTCGTGTCCCTCAACAAGGAGACAACTGATGGCTGGAACCTTGTTTTGGTCAGGACAGAGGTAGAGAGACCCTCAAGTGGTTCCCTGTTGAACATATTTGTTTGCTTTTATCTCATCACAGCCCTAACACTGGGGGGAGTCGTGAAAACTTGGACAATGAGACAGAGACAGACTCAGTGGTGTCATCACAGAGGGAACGACCTCGTCGGACAGATGGGCCTGAGCATGGTGAGTGTTGATAACATGGTGAGAGCTCTGGAAGGGCATGGCTGGGGCATGGTGGCAGCACCAGCTTCAGACTTGGGACAGCTTTCTCTGCTCTGCAGAACCCCAGCTCAAAAGGGCTATTCTATAGCTTTTAGAAGGGCCATAGCCTCACATTGGAGGTGGGAGCTAGCACCTGTGTTACATGAGAGCTTGGTGTTGAACCCTTTGGAGTCAAGGGGGTTACCTCCTGTAGAAGCCCCAAGAGCAGGAGACAGTTGTGCCTCTATCTTAGCTGAGAACCAGAGTGAGCTTTAGCCTTGCCACTTGTGGTGCTTCTTGCTCTACCAAGGAAACAGCTGCAAGTCTTCCACAAGCTTAGCAGCATTGTTCCTACTGGCCCATCAGCCTCTTCCTATCCTGTAGTGATAGAAGAGGTATCCCCTAGGAGATGGATCTGATCCCAGGGTAGACTGGGACTTACTTATCTGCCACTAGATGGGATTGACTGATGGCCAGATTTATTCTGAGGGGGTTGCTATGAGCCCTGCATAGGGGAAGGGTTTGTCTCAAGCCCACTGACTCTTGTCTTTTCACAGCACCCAGGGTGAATGGGACAGTGAAGGGAGAGCGGCGCCGAGACCTGGGTGGGTACGAGAGCTCCTCCACGCTCATGAGCAGCGAGCTGGAGACCACCAGCTTCTTCGATTCAGATGAAGACGACTCCACCAGCAGGTAGGAGAGATTGGGTCTTGGGGAAACACTAATTTCCCCCTAGCTCTCAGAACAGAGAGATGCCTTTGCAGGGCACAGTAGTCCTGGGCTCAGACCTGCTTCCATCTCACCCAGCAGACCCCTCTGCCACTGTCTGTCTGTCCCCCATGCATCTTTCTCCCCTCTGCCCCTGCAGTCCTCTATTCCCTGTGCCATTTCCATGGCTCTCTTGCTACCACCACTATGGCAGCAGAAGAGCTGACTCTTGCTTTTGCCTGCAGGTTTAGCAGTTCAACAGAGCAAAGCAGTGCTTCCCGTCTAATGAGGAGGCACAAGCGACGCCGGAGGAAACAGAAGGCTCCACGCATTGAGCGGGTACCCAGGGAGGGGCTGGGTGTCCTGGGGAGGGCAGTGCAGGTCACGGTGGGCTCACAGGGATTCAGCTTGTTTTGCTGTGGGCATGGCTTTGGACAAGTGTCCAAGTGCTGAGGCTTCCAAAAGTGCTGTGAACCTTTTCCAAGCCAATGTAGCCTCATGAGCTGGGACCACAGGCCTTGTCCCAGCTGTGGAGAGGTCATAAGGACCATGGCTGTTTTCTGGCTCTGCAAAGCTCCCAGCATAAGACTGGAGTTGTGGGTGGTGACTGTGCTGTGGTGCCACAAGGAGGGGCAGGAAGGAAAGGACAAGTAGAGGAAGCTAGGGTTGGGATGGGAATGTTACTTAGGCACAGGGGGACATCTCATGTTTTGCTTACGTTGCAGTCCTCGTCCTTCAGCAGCATCACAGACTCCACCATGTCCCTGAACATCATCACAGTCACGCTGAACATGGGTGAGTGGGAGGTGTGCATGGAGCCTGCAGTCCTTCCAGAGCAAGACTGGGTTGTGGAGAGGGAACTGGGGAGGGGGCAAGGAGAACGCATGGGGGAGGAGTGAGGAGGTGGATTCTGTAGGAGATTGGCTTCTCTTGTAGAAATTGTCTCTCAAGAGTTTGTGTGTCCCAGGACATCTCTCTGGGACAGGGGTGCAAATCACCACCATTAGGATGTGGTTTTACTGAGGTTAGGTCTGCTTGTGCTTGATGCTTTGGGGTTACTTACATCTTTCTCTTTCCATCCCTGCAGAGAAATACAACTTCCTGGGCATTTCTATTGTGGGACAGAGCAATGAGCGTGGGGATGGAGGCATTTACATTGGCTCTATCATGAAGGGAGGCGCTGTGGCAGCTGATGGCAGGATTGAGCCAGGAGACATGCTCTTGCAGGTACTTCACACCCACATATCTCCATCTTTGGGCCTGGGAAAGCAGTAAGAAAAGACCCAGAAGCCTCCCTGAGAACTTTGGCAGGCTAAACCCAGGAAGTCACGCTTGGAAGAGGGAAGCTGAGTCACTGCTGAGCTGAGTGGAGAGCTCAGCCTCTGGTCACATCTCTGGGACTCACCTCTTTGTGTTGTTTGTAGGTAAATGACATCAACTTTGAGAACATGAGCAACGACGATGCCGTGCGGGTGCTGCGGGAGATCGTGCACAAGCCGGGGTGAGTACTTGGGTTGTTCCTTCCATCCAGGGACATCTGCACAGTTTGTGCTTGGAGTGTGTGAATCGTATCTTCCAGCCACCTCTGCCAGTGCCTCTGCAGAAGCTCAGAACTTAGCTTCAACATTTTGGTGTTGCTTTGATTCCTAGGTTTTCATGTCCAATGCAAGAATTGCAGCCAACGGAATTGCAGCAAACTGGGGTCCCTTTTTTTGTGGGGATGCCATGTTGCTGCTCATTGCAGGGCAATTGGATTAGATGACCTTTAAAGATCCTTTCCAAAACAAACTTTGCTGTGATTCTCTGATTTTATTTGGGTCATCAGCAACCCTCAGCGGGGTCACATCATTTTGTTCATGTCAGTAGGGGAAACCCATAGCTGGAGGGGAACAAAGTCACTATACTAGCAGCTTCTCCCTGTCTCCCAGGAGAGAGCTGGCACACAGCATCCACTCATCATGCAGGGGTTTGTGTTACTGTGCTCTGGTTCTAACTCTCACCTTTTTGTTGCAGGCCCATCACCCTGACAGTGGCCAAGTGCTGGGACCCCAGTCCGCGTGGCTGCTTCTCGTTACCCAGGAGTAAGTGGATAGCTGACCCACCCTTAGCGCTGGTGCCCAGCTCATGTGAGAGCCCTGCCTTAAGCACTTACTTGGTTGTTGTCTTGTTCCTCCCCTGTGTGTGTGACTCCATGGGGCACTGAATTGGGGTTTGATGGGGTTTCAGCTCTCCTTTTAGGAGGCTGATATGTTCTATTCCTAAACCAAAATGCCCATAAGCCCAGCCCTTCTTCCCACATCACGCTGGGGACGCGTTTCACTGGGGCAGGGAGGTCACTTGCTCGGGGCGCCAGAGGAAAGAGAAACCCCCCCTTTAAGACATAGGGGGATCTCTCCCTCTGCACCTCTCCTGCTGACCCTCCCTCTCTTCTTTCTCTCCCAGTTGCTCCCCAGCGGATCTGGGCTGGGCCAGACTCTCCATGCTCCGATCCGGGTGAGTCCCGGCAAATACTGGGGATGGAATGGGCTGTGCTGTGTCCCTGTCCCTCCCCAGAGGTTGTTTTGATGAGGTGATAATTTCTTACAACTAGTGACTGACTCTTTCTTCATTGCAGGTGAGCCCATCCGGCCCATCGACCCGGCAGCCTGGGTGTCTCACACGGCAGCGATGACTGGCACCTACCCAGCGTACGGTATGAGTCCATCCATGAGCACAATCACTTCCACCAGCTCCTCCATCACCAGCTCCATCCCAGAGACCGAACGTAAGTCCTTGTGCCTCCGTGCTGCACCCGCTGCACGGCCTCCTCACCTTCACTATGCTGTGAAGGGACCAATACATCTGCCTGGGGACAGCTGGGGTGGGCCAGATCTGCCCTGTGAAGGGTCTGGGAGGGAGGCAGCTCTCTCTGGCTGGCACTTTGATCAGTGGGAGTTCTGCCTGGGAGAATTAATATCATGTTTTTAAGCCTTCTGTGTGAGGAGAGTAGAGGAGCCTGGCTGCAATCAGGAGCTGTGGCAGGTGTAGAGGAAAGACTGACTAAGGATTGGCTGCTGGGAATGTGGAGCCAGAGGGATTCAGCACGTCCCTGGAGCAGCTGAGAGCTCCTCCCAGACAGCAGATAGAGCAGGACAGAGGAGGCAGCTGAGAGCAAAGAGCCTCGTGGTGGGGCAGGGTCCTGCTGAGCACAGGCCTCTTGGTTGCTTTCTGAAGGTTTGGGATGATGTGGTATATAAAGCCCTGAAGCAAGGGTCTACAGAGCTTGGGTGAAGCAACAAGCCAAGAGTTTGTTGTAAGTTTGTGACTCTTGCCTGGGCTTTGCCCAAGAGGAAACTGCTGACATGTGAAGGATAACATGGGAAGGCTGGAAGGGGGGTTACACAGCATGTACCCCGAGGCTGTCTGCGATGTATTGTTCCCTGGCCCATTCCTCCCGTGTGTGATGCTTCCATGTGGCCCTCTTGTCTCTTCTGTCCTCTCTCACCTCTGCCTACCTTCCTTCATCCACACCACAGGCCTCGATGACTTTCACCTGTCCATCCACAGTGACATGGCCACCATTGTCAAAGCCATGGCCTCACCAGAGTCAGGCCTCGAGGTGCGTGACCGCATGTGGCTGAAGATCACCATCCCCAATGCCTTCATTGGTAAGAGACTGTGCTGCCAGCAGCAGAGGCAGGGACTGGGGAATGGGTGGCTTCTTTTCAGGCAGATGTCCAAGGGAGCATCTTTGTTACCATAAATAAACTGCTGACTAGGCAAGAGTCAGAAATGGAACCTTTTGACCCACTTTGTCTTTGCTCCAGTGTGGCTCGCTGCCTCAAGGGCTGCTGTCTTCCTCTCTCTTGCCAAATTTAACTCTGTATTTGGTGGCAGGTTCGGATGTGGTAGATTGGCTCTATCACCATGTGGAGGGCTTTACAGACCGCCGTGAATCCCGCAAATATGCCAGCAACCTGCTGAAGGCTGGCTACATCCGACACACCGTGAACAAGATCACCTTCTCGGAGCAGTGCTATTACATCTTCGGGGACCTCTGTGGAAGTATGGCTCTTGGTGTGGCTGGGAGGGAGAGGATGGAGGGGTAGTGGTCCTGCAGAGCCCTGCTGACAGCATGGGGACACACCTACAGCCATTGCCAAGGCTGGGCCCCTTGTTCTGCAGACTCTGTTAAAGGAGTGATGGAGAATATCCCAGCTCCCTTGTCCTGCTGCTGAGGTAGTGAAGTTGGAAGCAGCATTGAGAGTCACCTACTATGTGATCTTTTCTCCTGGACAGTCTTAGCTGAGTCTTAGTCTTTACTGACTGTCTCCAGGCTCTCAATTTGTTGTTGGCAAGGGGTTGGTGCTCAGGGTTGGCTGCTCAGATAAGATGGGGGGAGGAATTGGCAGAGTGAGCTGTAGCTCTGATGTGGTCCTTTCCCACCAAGCTGGTCTCTGTATTAGAGTGGCAGCTTGGACTCCCACAGCCTGGCAGTTGTTCAGCCAGGAAGCACAAATGGTGGCAGTGACTAACAGAGAGAGTGCCAACTTCTTGTGTCTCCTTGTGTATCCTGTCCTTGTCCATCAGCAAGAATGGACAGAAAGCTGCTTCACCACATGGTTGTTTTTCTGCTTGGATTAACCCCTGTTCTCTGCTTTCTTGCAGACATGGCTAATCTGTCACTTCATGATCATGATGGCTCCAGCGGCGCCTCTGATCAGGACACTTTGGCTCCGCTCCCTCACCCAGGAGCTGCACCCTGGCCTATGGCCTTCCCATATCAGTATCCACCGCCTCATCCATACAACCCCCATCCCGGCTTCCCTGACCCAGGCTACAGCTATGGAGGGGGCAGTGCAGGCAGTCAGCACAGTGAAGGTGAGTGAAAAGGACTAAAATATGCCTGTAGGTGGGCAGATATCCTGTTCAGTACAGGGCAGCAGCAGGACTCTGTGGGGGAAACCAGGGTAGAAGCCATCTCGGAGGGGTTGTGGGACTCGCTGCCGAAGGGAGACTGAGAGCACAGACCGTGCTGGGGCCTGGCTGTGCCAGAGCGTGCTGCAGTCCTCCCTTGCCTAGAGGAGATCCATCCGTTCTTCCCGACTTGCCCGAGCTGGTGCCTAACCTTGCCTCTCGTGCTTCGCAGGGAGCCGGAGCAGCGGTTCCAATCGCAGTGGCAGCGAGAGGAGGAAGGAGAGAGAGAAGACCGGGGAGTCGAAGTCAGGCGGCAGCGGGAGCGAGTCGGACCACACCACGAGGAGCAGCATGCGGCGCGAGCGCGCGGCCAGCGAGCGCTCGGTGCCGGCCAGCCAGCACAGCCAGCGCAGCCAGCACTCCCTGGCTCACAGCATCCGCAGCCACCACAGCCAGCAGTCGTACGGGCCGCCCGGCCTCCCCCCTCTCTTCAGCCCCCCCATGTTGCTGATGCCTCCACCGCCGTCAGCCATGGGCCCCCCCGGGGCGCCGCCGGGCCGTGACCTGGCCTCTGTGCCCCCCGAACTGACGGCCAGTAGACAGTCCTTCCGAATGGCCATGGGCAACCCCAGTGAGTTCTTTGTGGATGTAATGTGAAGCGCCCATCCCCTGTCTGTCTGCTGTCCCTCCTTCCCCCTTCTATCCCTGTTGTTTGTTTCCTAGGACCAGCCCTGGCTTCACCCCTTGTTTTTTTGGGGTTTTTTTTTTGTTTCTTTTTTTTTTTGTCTTGATAACGAAAAGAAAAAAAAGGGAAAAAAAAATAAATGGAACTAAACCTTGATTCTAATCCCTCCTCGAGCGGGGTGGACAGGCCTGGCAGGCCTGCTGGGTGCTGTCAGCCCCTCCTGCCCCCAGACTTGTGTATTTCCGATGGTAATTCCCTCCTGCCATCCTCTCTAACCCCATTAATCCGCATCCGTCCCAGCACCCTGTGCTGCTTGCCCGTGTGTCACTGCTGCCTCAGTCCTTTCACCCTAAACATCTCTTCTTTCTTTTCACCCTTTTGTGTTTCTTCTATCAAGCAGCAAAGAATTACGGGGTGTTTGACTTTCTCTGAGCCTGCCGCCCGCGGGGGGGAGAGCTGGAGCATGGCGTGGCCCGACAGCAGGACACGGAGCTCCAGGGCGCTGGGCACGCATGGCGCTGAAGATGGCTTCTGTCCTCCCCCTCGCGGAAGATGCCCTGCCCTTCCCACAGCCCTGACAGGGGAGCAGGGACCAGCCTTATATCTGTATTTTAAATCCCATTGTAGCTGCCTTTTGGGCTAATGCATGAATGTTCCAGGGCTTCAGTGCCTCCAGGGAGTGGAGAGATGCTGCCACTTCCCTCTTGCCTCCCTTCTCTTGTCCACATAGTGGGCCAGGTCCAAGCCTGACACTGACCCATGGCAGGACCCTCCTTCACCTTGGCCAGGTCTCAGGGCTGGGGCTGTACCTCAGCCCAGAGAGGTGGTGATTACCTGTGCACAGTCTCTTACGTGACTCAGTGCCCTACACCTGCCCTGGGTTCTTTGGGGGGATTTAAGGGCAGAGCTCTGCTCCTTCCATCCTGCTCTTTGCCCTCCTGCCTGCAATGTGCTGCTGCCTGTCCTGTTTGTAAGGGCTGTCCCGTGCCTGGGGCTGGCAGCTGTGGCCTTCTCCCTCCTGCTGTCGCGCTGCTGCTCAGCTGTGTGGTACCTTCAGGGGCCTGGACTAAGTTAGAAGGCGAGGGCGGGGCACAACTGGTTCACTTTCATGCTTTGGACAAACGTGGAGGTCCCCTGTATTTGCCCTCTGACGGGCCTGAGTCTGTCTTCTCCTCTGCCCAGTGCTGCTGGGAGGGACAAACCTCTGGGACAGCCCCACTCCCTCTGGTCTGTGAGCGGTGCCTGGTGGCAACACGAGCTCTCCAGGGACGAGACTGCAGCCTGAACCATGGCCTCTGGGCTCAGTGTGTGCTGGGACAGTTGAGTCTGTTTGCTCCAGTGCTCCCTGCCTTTCTTCCTTCCACTTCTGGGTACTCTGAGACGTGCCTGGGGCTGGGGCAGCCCTTTCCCATGCCCAGGGCCGAGCACGGTACAGTATGGACATGTCGACCCTGCCGCTGTTGGTGCTGGCGCCCCGGCGCCCTCTCCAGCCACGCCGTGGCTTTCTCCACAAGGATTGCCTCCTCTGGTCTTTCTTGTGTTCACAGTTTTTATACGATGGAGTTGAATTGTATTTTGCTCCCTGGGAGTCTGCATTGCCCCTGCAGCCCCCCTGCCAGCTCTCACACGCCATCAGTTCATCTCCCTGACTCCCTAAAGCCTCTCCTTCCCTCAGCCCGCTGGAGTCAGACTGTCCCCGGTAGCCTCCCTGGCCACTGCGCACCCTTTGCCCTGCCCTATCCACTGGGTTTTATAAAAACAACACCAATCTCCTTGTTTTTATTTATAAACATAGTTTTATTGGACTCCTGCCTTGTGTCGTTCATTTATTCTTTTCCCCCCCAGCCTCCTCCATCCTCCTGCCTTTCGCTGTAAAGGGAGATGCCAGCAGGGTGAGGGCACCCTGTGCCAGCTGTGTTTTCCCGGGATGCCGAGGGTGGCTGCGGGCTGGAGCAGAGCCTGCGCGGGGGCTCTCGGGGTTCCCTGGGTCCCCGCTTCCAGCGGCAGCACTGCGGGGAGAACCGGGAGCCAGTCCGACCGCAGTGCGGAGCGGGGATGCGGGGGCCAGCGGGAGTTAGCAGCCCTGGAAGGGCGCGGCGAGCCCAGGGCTCCGCAGGCCGAGCGCGGCCCCGGGCCAGCCCTCGCTGAGCGCAGCTGCCGTGCCGCCCTCGCCCCGCCGTAGACTACAACTCCCAGTGCGCCCCGCGCGGAAGTGCAATTCCCGCCCCTACCGCGCGGCCCTCCTCCCACTCCGCGGAGGCGCAGGCGCAGTGGCGGAGCGCGGGCGGGGCGCGCGCGCGGCGTCTCTGCAGTGCGCGGGGGGGCGCGGGGCGCGGGG